TTTGTCTATAATTGTGGTTAGACATTGTTTTGTATGAATGCCATGTGTTTTAGTGTTTATGTAAGTCTCCCACATACTTTACATGCCTATGGAGCAAATTTTCATTTATTATCTTGCTTGTGTTAAAAAATGTTAATTTTTGTCTTTGAAAGTGCTTAAATGTTGCTTGATGATTTGGTTTTGATTTGAAGCCTTGTTAACTCGAGTAAGTAAGCCCAAGGGGTGTTCTATACCTAATCACTAAAGCTATCTAGTTTGGGAGCAGTTGGCCCAAAGCTCGTTACATGGGTCTTTTAGAAAGCTTAAAAGTCATTACATAGATCATGAGTTTTATATATCTATCTCTCTCTCTCTCTCTCTCTCTCTCTCTCTCTCTCTATATATATATATATATATAATTCATTCAATTGTCTTTCTCTTTTCTTTCTTTACTTGTCTTAACTTCTTAAATTTCTCAAAAGTCTATTGCGGGCTTTAGGTCAATGACTCCTAAACCAACAGCTCTAGGGCACAAGTCTAGAACACCCCTCTGACTTACTCACTCGAACCAACCAGACTTACAAAATTAAAAAGGGGGGGGGGGGGGGGGGGTTCGCGCGGGGCAACCGCACAACTACACTATAAATATCCCCTAAATTTCTCATTTTTTCTACACCACTCAATCTCTCTATTCTCTATTCCAAATCTCCAATCAAATTCTCATCAATTTATATTTATAATTTAGTCATATTATTTATTTATTTATTTATATTATTCAAATTTTTCTATTTTTCAATATCATCTCTTATTCATATTATTATTATTATTATTATTATTATTATTATTATTATTATTATTTTCATTTTAATTATTTGTTATTTTATCATAAATTCATAATGGATTCTCGAAATGATGCATTCGGAGGATCATCCCCAAATGAGTTTTATTTATGTTCCATCCACCGAAGAAACGGAAGGGTTCAATCCATTTTCACCTTTCCTCCAAAGGTAGCAACTGCAATTCAACAACCACATTTAGCCGGGATGAGGTGCAGCCAAATACAAGTGAGCTGCGACTCAACGGGCACAGGCATAGCCCAACCCCCTTGACCATCAAAGAGGGTCGTGTCCTATGTATAGCGACACTTCACCAAATCAAAACGGCCAAAGACAAATGGGGAGGGGGAAGAATCGTGTGGCGTATGTAATTTCTGTGGAACCATTATTGGCACTGAGAAGGGAACTTCGACGATGTGACGACACTTGGAGAAGAAGCACCCCTGATAGGTTGCATAATTTGAGTGTTTTTAGGGTTGTTTTGATGTTAGTTTAGTTAACATCTCATTTGTTTCCTTTGTTTTGATGTTTGTTTTTGTTAAGTTTGAGATATGAATGGTTACCTTTTGATTTAGATAACTTTTTTGTTTTTCAGGCTTGATTGAGTAGATTGGAGTATTGGAATGAAACTGGGACTTAAAGCTTGAAGAAGTTGAGATTACCTAACATTCTTGAAGGCCACGGCCATGCCTTGGTAGTTCACCATGGCCATGGTGGTAGAACAAAGATAAAACAAAGAGACTAGAAAACACCACAGCCTAGGCTGTGGTGACTTAAATTTGGCCACGACTGGGGTTGTGGCGGAAACTATTAGGGTGTTTTTACAATTTTTCTTTCATTTTTCACTTAGGACTCTTTTGGGTATTTAAGTATAATTGAGATTAGTTGTCAAGGGATGAATTTTGCATATTTTTGAGAGGAGAAGACTTATTCTTGGGGCTTGAAGACTAAAGATCAGATTTAAGAGTTTGATTTTTGTTTATTTTCAAGTCTGAATATGTTTTCTTTCTTCTCTATTTATTTCTTTGTTCGTAGGATGGAGTAAATCTCTTTTGTTAGGGGAGGATGGTGTTAGTAACTGACTGGATTCGCGTTGTGGAAAAACATAATATTTAAAACAAATCGATCAATTACAGGAACCAAGATCCGAGCACAGATTATAACGTTTTCATGCATAAACTAAAACGTAAAAATAAACCAGTATTAAAAAAAATCCATACAAGGATTTAGTTCATACCGATGTTTGGAGGCTCCTCTAAATATCTCTGATTTCAGACACGAATACTATTCACTAGCTACTGTTCATCGTCTACTGTTCACGTGATTCTTTGCTAATTGATCCAATGTAGGATCGCACTCATGGAAGTCCACATGAAGATAATCCAAAGAACCGACAATTGTTTTGCTAGAACAATTGCCGACATCAAGAATCAAGAACAATCGAAATTGAAAAATTTTCTTCTTCACTTGAAGAAGAAAACGTTAGAGAGAGAGAACCTTTTGGGTGGCTAGGGTTTTAATTGAATGAATCTTTTTTTTATTTTAAGTTGCACTTATATAGTGCAATAATTAAAACCCTATTTCACTTAGGAATAGCCATGGGCTCCAACCCTAGTTCACCCTTGCAACCAAACACACCCTTTATAGTATTTTATTATAATTAAAATCAATTAATATATATAATAATATATTAACATTTAATTAATAATAATAATTCATTTAAATATATACATAGATATTTTTAAATATAATCTCACTAATTTAATTTTAATATTAAAATTAAATACATGCAACAACCTCAGCAAATTTAATTACACTGTGGGATTACCAAAATACCATTTTGTCTTGAAAGACGAAAATACCTTCTCACAAATTGATCCTTAAATTATCTTCTAAGTGTGTGACCCGTAGGCTCCTCATCATATCGGCAGTGTGTAATATCGCGATTAACACTAATTAATAGTCTCACTACACACAGACTAAGATTGGCCCCTAGCAAGGCACCATGGCCAGTCGATAGATTCATATTCAGCGAAACCGCAGCCTGTTAACGATATGGTTACTGTGCAATTTAATCCTTTCATCATCCGTTATCTCATCGAGACTAATGTACATAAATAGTGTCAACCTCAGATATCTCAACATGTTTGTATTCAGTTAATGGACCAATGACCAGAATAATAAATTGGATTGAGCATCAACTCAATCCCACTGTGGCCACAGATTTAGTGTCATTGTCATTTACTGAATTACCCAGTGAGATAACTTCTCCCGTACCCAGGAGTGATGAATCCCTTGTCGATCCACCATAGTCTCGATACAGTTCTCAATGTAGCCTATCACTACCGTATTGACAGCTCTGAATAGAACTACGTTAGGCTAGTATCAAACTACACCAATTGGTGAACAAGGTGCTCCGATGATCTCAAGTCCAAGGATCACATACACCACCATCCGTCAGAGGATTTATTCTATAGATATTAGGGTTACCATCCATATGGAATCCTCTGGTGGGTCTGTCTAGTGAACTTGCCTCTAGCAAGCACCCATGCGTTACACCAGGTTGTCGACACACAACCTTGACAAGTGAGATCAGTCACTGCCTTTCGACAAGGTCATTCAACACAATGATAGTCTTACCGTATTATTTGTATCCTTGGTCAGAATAATACTGGGGCTACGAACATTTCTAGAATGTCCACCATATGTGATCATAGGGTTCTCACTATCAAGATTTGAAACACTTGATACCCTCGTCATGGTTCTACCATCCTAAGAACATATATCATTACACATAATATGATTTACGTGATATAGTGGATAATGCTTTTTTATTGATTAATAAACATTTTTTACAAAGTCATTTTTTACAATAATAGATTAGCTCTAGGGAACCTACTCCAACAGATGGAACCCTAATTATGTTTTGAACAATTTTTAATACCAGATTTATGTTTATGAATTTGTGCAAGAGTTTAGGTTTAATGCTTTATGAATGTTGGATTGATTCAATTACCTTGATGATAGGGTTTATTGCCTAATTCATATTCATAATTGTTTTATGGGAATAACATTGCACAATATATTAAAACTAGAAGTAATCAATAGAGATTCTAGTATTAATTTGTGGTCCATCTAATTCATAACCAAATAGGGCAAATTAGTCGTAAGGGATTGATAAATTTATGCTTCTTAATTTCAGAGTAACTGAATAGGGATCTGTTTTAAGTTGAATATTATGCTTGAATAAGGATAATTGGCCTTAGAAGAATCCTACCAATTCATAGCACAAATGGATATTAAGAGTAGTTGTCAAGCATAATTAGGGGAAAATCTGTACCCTAACTTCATTAATATTGCAAAGTTCTTCGCATTATTTATTTGTTTAATTTAGTTATTTTTAATCCATTACTTTTGCACTCTAAAATTTCGTTTTCTCAAATAACATGTAGGTAGTTTTAGGTAATTAAAAATAATTGCTTTGATCTCTGTGGGACGATACTCAACTCATCACTTTATTACTTGAACACGACTAGTGCACTTGCTAAGGTTGATTTAGTTGCATAAAGTTTTTGGTGTCGTTGCCGGGGATCGTTAGATTGTTTGTGATTATTTTAAGATTACTTGTTACTTTGAGATTTTTATTTTTATTTTGTTTGTTTTTATTGGAAAACAATAGGTGTTTGTGCTAGTGTATGACCAAAGCCTCTGGAAAGATTTTACTAGCATTTGATCCTGAGATAGAGCGCACTGTTCACGTAAGAAAGAGATCAATCAAAAGGGAGATCACGGGTGATCACAATAACCCAAATAATGGAACACCACTAGCAACTCGTACACTAAACGAGTACTCTACCCCATCTCTAAATGGAGTAACATCGAGCATTCGACGACCAGTGATCAATGCCAACAACTTTGAGATAAAGCCAACATCATCCATGATTCAACAGTTAGTACAGTTTGGTGGTTTGGCACATGAAGATCCCAACTTACATATTGCAAAGTTCCTGGAGATTTTTGATACTTTGAGGCACAATGGAGTTTCCGATGAAGCTATAAGACTAAGATTGTTCCCATTTTCATTAAGAGACAAAGCTAAGAGTTGGTTGACCTCATTACCTACAGGCTCAACTACAACCTGGGAGCAAATGACACAAAAATATTTTCCTCTTGCAAAGATTGCACAATTACGTAATGATATTACTATGTTTGTGTAGGTGGAGATAGAGTCACTATATGAAGCATGGGAAAGGTTCAAGGACATGCTCGGCGATGCCCCCACCATGAATTACTTGTTTGGCTACAAGTCTAGACGTTCTATAATGGTCTTCATAGTGAAGTTCGAAATATGATCAATGCTGTTGCAGGTGGCACTTTAGGTAAGAAGACACCAGAACAAGCTTATGAATTACTGGAGGAAATGGCTTCAAACTCTTATCAATGGCCGATAGAGAGGTTGCTATGAGAAGAACGTTAGGTGTTCATAACATAGATGCCATCATAGCTTTGGTAGCACAAATGCAGGCATTAAATAAGAAGATTGATGGACTTCAAATGCAAAAACCTGCAATAGTTGCTTCTATGTGTGATTTTTGTGGCGAAAATCACCCTAACCGTGAGTGTCAATCAGTTAACATGTTTGCTGTTAATTCTATGCCAGATAAAGCTAACTATGTTTCAAATTTTCACACGCCTAATAATAATCCATACAGTGAAACATATAATCCAGGGTGGAGGAATCACCCAAATTTCTCTTGGAGTAACAACAATCAAGTGAAACCTCCACCGCCAAGTTTTTAATCTCAAGAGAAGAAATCAAATTTAGATGAGATGATGGCGAAGTTCTTGAGTACTATAGAGACAAGAATTCATAATCAAGAGGCTTCCATCAAGAATTTAGAAGCTCAAATTGGCCAGTTGGCTGATATCATTTCAGGTAGACAGCAAGGGCATTTACCGAGTGACATAGAAAAGAAACCGAAGGAGCAATGTAAGGCCATAACCTTGAGGGATGGAAAGGTGATCGATAAAGAATCATCACAAAAGAAGGTGAAAAGTGAAGCTGAGTTACTGGTCTCTACTGAAGAAAAGAAACCGAATTCAGAAAAAGAGATAGAGACTAAGGTAAAGGAAACTGCAAGAGGTAAAGGAAAAGGTACGTCAAATTATGATTCTATTGTTGTTGAAAAAGATATATTAGAATTTCCTTATCTCGATAGAGTTAGAAAGGATAAACTAGATCAACAATTTTCAAAGTTTTTAGAGGTCTTTAAGAATTGCAAATAAATATTCCATTTGTTGAAGCTTTAGCACAAATGCCTAGTTCTTAAAAAACATCCTTTTGAACAAGTAGAAGATCGAGGAGCATGGAAAGTTATGCTCACTGAAGAATGTAGTGCCATATTGCAAAATAAATTACCTCCTAAACTGAGAGATCTAGGGAGTTTTACTATACCTTGTGCATTAGGAGATTCATTCTTTGATAAAGCATTGTGTGATTTAGGTGCTAGTATTAATTTAATGCCTTTATCAATTTTCAGGAAGCTAGGACTTGGAGAAGTGAAAGAGACAAACATGTCACTTCAGCTTGCTGATAGATCAATCAAGCGACCTAAAGGCATTGTTGAAGACATTTTGTTAAAGGTCGACAAATTTATCTTTCCAGTAGACTTCATAGTTCTTCATATGGAGGAGGACCGGGAGGTGCCTCTAATTAATTCTGAGACTAAATGATGAAGAAATAGTGTTTGATGTCCATAAAGCGATGAAAAATCCTACTGCATTTTATATTGAATCTTGTTTTCACTCTGATAGTTTTGGTGAGATTGTAGGTGATCACAGAGAAGAAATTCTGCAAAGGGATTCTTTGGAGAGATGTCTAATGGAGTTGAGCACAACAAAAGATGAAGACCCGTGTTTGAAAGAAGAAGTTGAAGCATTAGAGAATGAATCTCTAACTAATAGTAATATGAAGCTAAAGGAGGATTTGCATAAAACTCCTAAAAAACTTAAACCTCTTCCTTCACATTTAAAATATGCTTTTCCAGATAAAGATGTTTACCCTGTGATTATTTCTGCATCTTTGATAGATTTGGAGGAGAAGTCACTGCTAGACATTTGGAGGAAGCATAAGGAGGCTATGAGATGGACAATTGCTGATATCAAGGGAATAAGCGCTTTCATCTGCATGCATAAGATCCTCATGGAAGAGAATTTCAAGCCAAAAATACAATCGCAAAGGAGATTAAATCCTGCCATGCAAGAAGTGGTACGAAAGGAAGTGGTAAAACTACTCGATACAGGTGCTAAACGTCTTTTGCAGGTGAGTGAGCTAGATGAATTTTGTCACTGGGCATACGAGAGTGCTAGTTTGTACAAGGATAAGACAAAGAGATGGCATGATAGGCACATTGTGAAAAAGGAGTTCGAGCTGGGACAACAAGTTCTTCTTTACAATAGTCGCCTTCGTCTTTTCCCCGGAAAGATGAAATCAAGATAGACGGGTCCATATGAGGTAATTCAGGTAACACCTTTTAGAGCAATTGAGATTCACCATAAGTGAAACGTTTAAAGTTAATGGACACCGTTTGAAGCACTATGTTGGAGGATGGTTCGATCCAAACACTGCATCCGTCCAGTTTCTTGAATGAAGAAAGCGGAGAAAGTCAAGCTAACAACTTTAAATTAGAACTATACATTTTTTTTTTCTCTTTTCTCTCTTCTAAAATTATTTTATTGTTGTTTGATTTTGTTTTTATTTTTGTTTTGTTATCGTCGGAACAAGGAACAAGTTTGGGGGAAGTTTAAGTGATAGAAGAAGAAGACATTTTTGAGCAGAATAGAACATAGGCTACCTTGTGTCATTTTACACAATCGTAGCCATGTTAAAGGATAAAAAGCTTACAGAGTCCAGCTTTCACCACGGGGTACCCCGTGTCATTTTATACAGCTGTGGCCATGCGCAAAAAAAATAATAATAATAATGAAAAAAATCACTTTTTTTAGGGAAGTTTCTATCTTTTATTTTCGATATTTTCTGTTTTGTTTTTGTTTTTCATGCATTGAGGACATTGCATTCTTTAAGTTCGGGGGAGTGGGCAGTTTGATTTGTGTTGCATTGTTGACGGTCTATTTCTTTTGTTTGGTGTGCTTGTGTTTAGGAAGTGTTTAGTTTATTTATGTGTTTTGGGTTTGTATTTGTATTTGTTGCATAGTGGTTATTATGCTTGTGCTTTTGATACAATCCCAAGCGAAACTTTGTGATATCCCTAAAAAAATTGCTTTTTGTGATGAACTTTGTAATCATTTGGAGTAGTGGTAGTATCAAGTCATTGAAAGGATTCAAACATGCTCATATCTTTAGGAATGCTGAAGAGTATGCAATTCTAGATGGTTGTGCAAATTTTGGTTTATTACTTGACTATGTTGTGTACTAGCTGAGCCTTGTCTTCACTCCCTATTAAAAAAAAAAAAAAAAAACTGTATTTATAGTCTTGAAATAAATTAACTATGCTTATTTGTTTGTTTTTGAATGAACTACTCCACTGCTTCGAGCTACTTAATAACCAGGAGTATTCATGAGCCCCATGTTTACTTTTGTGTCAAACTATAGCTTAAATTATGAGTATGCAAAGCACTTTATGTGTTGTGACATTGCTGAGTAATTGGGGCCATTCATCACAAATGTGTGCATTCGCGTAAAAAGGTGATGTGACAATCTAAAGAAGCCTATGAAAAAAAAAAAGATAAAAATAAGCAGGGGGTTAAGTATAAAGTCTTGGTGAGGCATGACTGGGTTGGGGAAAGATTAGAGTTGCACAATTAGCTGGGTTGTATGTTTGCATGCATGAATATTATTTAAAGCATGTTTGCTTTCTTTTCATTGATTTTGGAAATGCTGTGAATCCTTGATGATTGTTGAGTTTGTTTTTCTGATATTTTCTTTACTCGGGGACGAGCAAAGGATTAAGTTTGGGGGAGTTGATAAGTTGCATAATTTGAGTGTTTTTATGGTTGTTTTGATGTTAGTTTAGTCAACTTCTCATTTGTTTCCTTTGTTTTGATGTTTGTTTTCATTAAGTTTGAGATATGAATGGTTACCTATTGATTTGGATAACTTTTGTGTTTTTTAGGCTTTGATTGAGTAGATTGGAGTATTGGAATGAAATTGAGACTTAAAGCTTGAAGAAGTTGAGATTACCTAACATTCTTGAAGGTCACGGCCATGCCTTGGTAGTTCACCATGGCCATGGTGGTGGAACAAAGATAAAACAAAGAGACCAGAAAGCACCACGGCCTAGGCTGTGGTGACTTAAATTTGGCCACGATCAGGGTTGTGGCGGAAACTGTTAGGGTGTTTTTATCAGTTTTTCTTTCCTTTTTCACTTAGGACTCTTTTGGGTATTTAAGTATAATTGAGATTAGTTGTCAAGGGACGAATTTTGCATATTTTTTAGAGGAGAAGACGCATTCTTGGGGCTTGAAGACTGAAGATCAAATTTAAGAGTTTGATTTTTGTTTATTTTCAAGTCTGAATATGTTTTCTTTCTTCTCTATTTATTTATTTGTTCTTAGAATGGAGTAAATCTCTTTTGTTAGGGGAGGATGAAACCCTAATTATGTTTTGAACATTTTTTATTCTTAATACCATATTTATGTTTATGAATTTGTGCAAGAGTTTAGGTTTAATGCTTTATGAATGTTGGATTGATTCAATTACCTTGATGATGTTTCGAATAGAAAAGTTAGGGTTTATTGCCTAATTCATATTCATAATTGTTTTATGGGAATAACATTGCACAACATATTAAAACTAGAAGTAATCGAATAGAGATTCTAGAATTAATTTGTGGTCCATCTAATTCATAACCGAATAGGGTGAATTAGTCGTAAGGAATTGATAAATTTATGCTTTTTAATTTCAGAGTAACCAAATAGGGATCTGTATTAAGTTGAATATTATGTCTGAAGAAGGATAATTGGCCTTAGAAGAATCTTACCAATTCATAGCACAAACGGGTATTAAGAGTAGTTGTTAAGCATAATTAGGGGGAAATCTATACCCTAACTTCATTAATATTGCAAAGTTCTTCACATTATTTATTTGTTTAATTTAGTTATTTTTAATCCATTACTTTTGCACTCTAAAATTTCGTTTTCTCAAATAACGTGTAAGTAGTTTCAGGTAATTACAAATAATTGCTTTGATCTCTGTGGGACGATACTCAACTCATCACTTTATTACTTGAACACGACTAGTGCACTTGCTAAGGTTGATTTAGTTGCATCAACCCCCAAATAATGTAGCTATCCGGTACATCTTGAAATCGGATCAAGTAGGCAAATTCAAACTCAATTTAATTTTAATCCTCAACTCTCTCAACATGGCAATATAATGCACATGTTGCACGAGAGAAAATAGCAAGATTCATAATTGCTACGGACTCTCCCATTTGTTTATCTGAAAACCTTATTTTATTCACATAATTAAAACTGCATTTTGTCCAGCATATACCCCTGTTAGTAGAAGTACAAATAGAAGAGATATACTAAAACTTTATAACAAAATAAATAATAAACTTAAAAACAAATTTCAAAATTTTAGGAATATATTTATTGCACTTACATCAGACATATGGGCTTGTAGATCAAAAACAGATTTTTTAACTGTCACAATACATTTCTTATATCATAATTGGGGTTTACAACAAAAATTGATGGGTTTTAAACCATTATATGAAAAACATAATGCTGACACTATTTATTTTGCAATTCTTGAAGTTTTGCAAGAATATCTATTAACCGATAGAGTTGTAGTGCTAACGCTTGATAATGCAGCTGCTAACACTGTGACAATCTCTTTATTTGAAAAGAGATTGGATCTGAGTGATGAAGGCAAATTTTTTCAGCAGATATGTGCTTGCCACATCATCAATTTGATTGTTAAAGCAGGTTTAGATGCTATACATTCGAAGATGGAAAGGGTGCACGTGGCTATTGGATTTATCATTAGCGGTAGCAATAAAAGATGGCAGGAGTACGTCAAATATTGTAGGCAAGAGGACCCACCAGTTTGCCCTTTGAAGTTATGTACGGACATGCCTATCTGTTGGAACTCCACCTACTTAATGTTGGAAAAAGTTTTGCCAACTGCAAGACAAATTACAGATTTTGTCAACCGGAAGAACTATCCAGAGGAAGTTGTCAGCTATGATGATTGGGCGGTTTGTGAACTTTTTTATTCATTTCTTAAAATTTTTTATGATTATACTAATACATTAAGTGGTATTTATTATCCGACTATTAATTTTGCGTTAGATATTTTACTTCAAATTTCTAAAAATTTTGCTAAATATAGATATAATGACTTTTTAATGGAAATTGTTTCAAAGATGGAAGAAAACTACGAGAAATATTGGTTAGATATTCCATTCTTATATGGATTAGGCCTTGTTGTAGATCCTAGGTTTAAATTACACGTAGTTAACTGTATAATTACTGAGATAGACTAGCATTTAGGACATGATTATACGTCTTATTTGACTGACTTTAAGCAAAAATTGGAAAGCCTTTTTTCTTTATATCAAAACAGGTACAATGGAAGTGGAAGTGGAATGTTCAGGAGAGATGACCAGGACCCTGATGCAGACCTCCATCAAGGATTGAGCAAGTGGACGTATATGGAACATGGCAGAAGTAGCAACTTCAGCTCGTACATACATGGACCAAATGAGTTGAATCGCTACCTACAAATGGACCTGTCCTACATGACGATGAAGGAGAAACGTGAGATGGATTTGCTTCAATGGTGGAACCAACATGAAAGTCGATTCCCCATTGTAGCCCAAATGGCACATGACATTTTATCTGTGCTGGTTTCTACAATTGCATCCGAGTCAGGATTTTCAACGAGTGGCCGGATTGTTGAAGACAGAAGATGCTCTTTAACCGATGAGATGATTGAAGTGATAACGTGTTTACGAGACTGGACTCATGTAGAGAGAACTCAGAGAAGACTATAACAGCACCCTGAAGATCCCGAACTACTCGAACTCTTTGGGAACACAGATTTTAATGATTTAAATATTGTTGAAGATGAAGATGAATAATTTAATAAAAAAAATTATTTAATTGTTTATTGTGAAGCGTGATTATGTGATTGTGTGAATATTACATTTATGTTAAAATTAACTATTAATTTGTTTATTATTTTATTATTTTTTAAAATTAATTAAACTTTTAAAAACTTACTAATCTACCCCTAAAAATTACTAAAACCCCCTACAGAATTTCATTTCGCCCCTAAAATATATATAAAAAAAAAAAGATAAGGGGGAAAAAGAAATTTTGCAGGCCCATAGGACCGGTCTTGGGCCCATAGGACCGGTCCGAGTCCTAAAACTGCTCATGGGCCTGGGACTGATCCCAAGCCCATGAGTGACTAGTCTTAAATGGGACCAGTCCCAAATAGGCCCAGGCCTAGGCCCGGGCCTACTTGGGACCAGTCCTTGACTAGGTCTACTTTATATCTTGCTAGAAGATGGAAAGGAAAAAAGCTCAATTATGCTATTGCTAAGCTTTGCTTGGGAGCTACGGTGTATTGGGTTTGGAGGGAGAGAAATAGTTGGATGTTTGGGGGAGAGTGTAAGGATATCCGTTCTATTATTGATTCGATCAAATGCATTGTGAGAGAGAGCTATGGACTTTAAAAACTTCAAGGCCTCCTTTACTAATAGGACTGGCAGACTCATGGGGCCTCCCTAGGGTTGCTTCAAGTCCTCTTCCTTTGTTCCCTCTCTCGTTGATCAATGCCTTGGATGAAGATTAAGTTGGTTTGAGTTCTTCTTTTGAGTTTCCTTGTGTCTTCTTTTGTTTTGCTAAGCATTGTTTCTAACTAAGGGCATGTCCTGAGATTGTAAAACAAGAGGAGTGACTGTTACTGGGCAGCCTTGGTTAAGGTGTGCTTTCATTGTTTGGTTTTGTGTTGGTGCTTTGTTTTGCTTTTAGCTTTAGGTGCCTAGTTTAGTTTTTTGTTAGTAGTCTTAGTGATTACTTGATTCTTTTGAGCCTAACCTAGGGCTTGTCCTATGGTATGTTGAACCTTTTTAATATGGCCTTTTGTAAATTCTTTCCTTTTCTTATGAATACTTACCAAAAAAAAAAAAAAGATTTTCTCCTATAAATAAAGGCGAAATGTGCGACCAACTGTTATGTGCAATAATGGAGTTGGAAAAATGGTGATACACGTGCATGAGAATGAGAGTAGCCTTCTTAAGTTGAATGAAGAAGCCAATTAAAAGATTAAATATTTGCCTCAAGCACTTAACAAAGGGTCAAATGGAATATTAATTAAGAAAGAAAAAGTCGAACAATATATTTAATTGGAAACAAACATAACACCTTCTTTGCTTTGTCAAATAATTAAAAAATCAATATAGAAGATCCTCAAGATTGTTGATGAAATCTGCAGAATCTTGCTTTCCTAAACTATACAGATATCCTAAAGATTTGCCTCTCAATCGCCTTCTATTTAAAGCCCAATTGCCCTTTTCTTCAATTTCATCATCATCATCATCATCATCTTCATCTCTTAACATCTTCTGCCTCTTCTACCTTTATTTTATAAAAGAAATATTTTCAATACTATATCTATCCAATTTTCAATCATGGGTGTGGCTGCTGGTGATGCTCAACCTCAGTTTCATGTTCTTGCTGTTGATGACAGCGTTATTGACAGAAAGTTGATTGAAAAACTCCTTAAAACTTCTTCTTATCAAGGTAACAATTTGGTTCTTTAATTTCTTTTTCTTTTTTTATTTGCTTGATTTTCCAGGGAGTCTTGTGTTGAAATTAATCCAACTTTTTGTATGTTTTTGTTTTCAACAGTTACTGCTGTGGACTCTGTGAGTAAGGCCTTGGACTTCTTGGGGTTGTTGAATGAAGAAGATGATGAGAGAAATTCAGAATTTGCTTCTGTCAGTTTGATTATTACAGATTACAGTATGCCAGGAATGACCGGCTATGATCTTCTCAGAAAAATCAAGAATTCTACATCATTAAAAGACATTCCAGTTGTGATGATGTCATCAGAAAATATTCCTTCAAGAATTAACAGGTGTTTGGAGGAAGGAGCTGAAGAATTCTTTTTGAAGCCAGTTCAATTATCAGATGTAAGCAAGCTTAAGCCTCATCTCATGGAGGAAAAATCAAAGGAGATTCCCGGCAGATGTTCCAGCAGTAGTCAACAACAATGTTTCGGGCCAGCGAGCTCCATCTGTATCTAAAACCTGGCTTTATATAGATTGCCAGATCTCGGTTACGTCTCATTTCTGGTTGTAATTGTGGATGACATTGTTTGCATATATAGCAGTGCTATTTGTATGCACAAAGCTATTTGGTCATCAATGCGCGGCCTGTGGTTCTGCTAATTAGGGTCATAATCTCCATAGTTGATGTTCCTGCCTTTCCAAGAGTTTATATGCCAGCAACGACCAAAAATTGCCGAACATAGAAAGGTAGAAGATGGACAATAATTAAATAGAAGAACATGAAGTTCATTTCGTCAGAAAAATGCACCAAAGACGGACGGCAATGTGCTGCAAATGCAAAGCACTCTTAGCTTCATGGTAGAATTTTTGAAGCTAAGAAGATGGTTCTCACACCCAGTTCATTGTAACTAAAATTTTGTAAGGATACATTATGAGGAGGCTCCATGTGTGACAGATTACAGAAGCTAGTGACTAAAGGCGACCACCTTTTTCTCATTTTTGTCTCCAGAAGCTCTTGTATACAGTAACATAGATTCTCACCTCTAAGCCATCACATATTCATTAATTCCTGAAATCCTATACGATATTAATTATTCTCCCTACTTTCTATTAATTTCTTGCACATTCCACCAATTCTTCCTAAACAAGAAACCTGAAAACTTTTAGTGTCAGAGATTAATCCACGAAAATTAATGAGAGAGAGAAATCAAATCCTCTTATTCATTCTTACCAGTTGACTTTTCCATATTCACAATATGTATAATATTATTGCTCTTAAATAATTATCAATGGTGTATCCATATGTTCATAAGCCACCACAAAAGATATACAACTGAAGACTAAAGAATTTCCTAATTGATCTTCGAGAATTCTGAGTAGGGAACATACAATCAATCGAGAAGCTAAAAATTTAAATGATAAATGTATGGGGTTTTGAATTTATACCCATGTAGAACTCAACTATTTTCAGTTTTATTAATGAATTATAAATGTGTGTTTTGATAAATCGAATCTATATCCACTTCACATTTAAGTTTCTACTTCATATTAAACCAGTCTTATTCCACTTGGATTGATTTAGAAATTGAGTTGTTGCTTTTTCGTTGATTTGGAAATTGATTTGTTTCTTTTTGGGTCTGCATCTGTGTTTAATTTCAAGTTTTATGCCGGAACACGACTCAAAGAGCAGTTGTCACCACCACTTGGGCTTATTTAGTTTGCCTAGATCAAATGGGTTATAATTGGGTTTGTTTTAGTTCTTTTGGGTTTCTTCCTAGCTCAATTGATCTTATTCTCAGCGAACCCCAATAGATTTCCTTTAGAGTAAGCCCATTTTCTTGGCCCAATAGCCAATCCAAATCTAGCTCTCAAAACAATTAAGCATTAGCCTCGGTATTTCTGAGTACCGGGCCCGGCCTGGCTCAAAAAGGTCAGGTTTTACCCGTTGTCAAGAAGCTTGGGCTTGGGATTGATTTTAAGGCCCACCCTCAGGTACAGGCTAGGCATGGGTATGTCTTCAGTCCCGACCCAGCCCGGCCTGGCCTAACAATTTTACTATTAATTTTACTAAATTATCCTTATACTATATATCTAATTACAGAATTATCCTACATATATATAAAAAAAAATTGAAATTTATTAATATTTGATGAGCATTCAAAAATAAATTAATATTTAAAAACTATTTCTAGAATTAAAAATATAAAAAAATTAAATTTATTAATATTTAAAAATTCACATTATAAAAAAGGATGGGCTTGGGTCGGGCCTGAGATTACAAAAAACCCGTCGAGTTGGGTTTGGGCTTTACCCGTCATCCCCGTGACGGGCCCAAGCTGGGACTAAGCCTTTTTCATGGGGTCGGGCTTGGGCCTTAGCCAAGGGGTACCCGATCCTAGCCCGACCCGGCACATTACCATCTCTATTCACCTATAGTATCTAATAACTAGGTAATGTTACCATCAGTTATACAACTCTTTAGACAATAACTCAAAGATTGATTGAAACGTAATCTAATAATGGTTATAAATGGTCTAAATTTTCCCTTATAATTAATCACTTACACCTCCTACCAATTTAGACCTGGCAAAACTAGCGGGTGGGCCGGGTACGGGTCGGGTCCAAATGGGTACGGGCCCAATACGGGTCGATGTATACGGGTCCAAAATATTGGACCCGTACCCTACCCTATACAGGTATGGGTGGACCCGCGGGTATCCCTTTTTTCTCTCTCCATATTTTAATTTCTTTTTCACCCCCAATAGTTTTTAATTATGACAGTTACACCCCCAAAATTCCTACAAGTTTAATTTTTTACATTTACACCCCCTAAATCAACTACTCTAAATGCAATTCAATTTAGAATATAAACAAATAGGAACCAAAATAAACAAATAACAAATAAACAAACAATAACATATAATACAAAATTACAAATACCAACCAAAATAAACAAATACATAATCATTAATACACAATTACACATAAACAAACAAAACAAGTCAATAAACTATAAATACCAACTAAAATGAACTAATACGTAATCTAATATTCAAGAAAAAACATTCTTAGAAGGTTGGTTAGAGTTTTCAACTAAAAGGTCCTTTATCTTCTCATTGTAAACCGCCAACATGCTAACAAATAGCTCATATCTCATGACACCAGTTTTGTCTTTGGAAATATTAAACAACTCCTCTAAAGTCATGTAGTTCACTCCTCTATTTTCAGGTGTACCCTCCATTGTAAATGTCTTCCCAGTTCCAGTTTGTCCATATGCAAATATGCAAACATTATAGCCATCCAATACTAAAGTCACAATAGGTTTAGTTTGTGCAAAAACAGCCTCTGCATATATTAGAAACCCATGATTAAATATTTAAACAGCTCAATATCCATTATAGCAATTGCTTTGCATTGTAAAAATCATTCATGAGATCAGGGATTACCTTGATTGTCCTCAGGCTTAAACACAAAATCAAACTTGAATTGCTTTTTAGAAGAATTAGAAGAAACAATTTGTAGCTCATTTTCTTGAGAAGAGTCAAATTCAACAATAGAACTGGACCCATTAGTAATTTCAGCTTGATTTAAAGGTCTACATCGGCAGAAGACCCTAATATTGCCTTTCAGCTCAATCACTTCATTGTAAAGCCACTTTTTTTTTGAGGACTCATCTATGTATTTCTTTTTTAAAAGCTCATATTCATTACCTAATACCAAAAATAGCAATTAAAATCACTAAAACAAAAGAAAGAAAAAAAGGCGAGAAACAATTGCCAAAATCAGTATCTGATACTCACTGAGATTCTAAAGATTGTCTAAAACACCAGGGCCAGGAAAACAATCAGTATTCATGTTCTTCACTTGATCTAAAAGACTTGAGTGATCTCTCTTCAAATCCTATAACATAAAGCATCAACATTAATCCCGAAACCAATAAAAAAACAAAAACAAAGAGAAGGCTCTAAATTTTACAGAACTTGATACCAAATAGAGCAATTACCTACACTAACAAATAAACTGAACACAAATCGTTCATTTTCTGAAACTCAATTGCCTAAAATAAGACTAACCATCCTACTTCTGTCAGTAAGAAATAAAGTGAAAGTGATACAAGAAGCGCCATTTTACCTTAATCTTATTGCTCAAATATATAATCTTCTGCAATATTGGAAGGGTTGGCCCTTGAGCTAGAAAAATTTCTCAGTTTGTGTTCGATAAACCATCCTCATCCATGAAATTGCTACTCTCTTCAACTAGCTCTAAAGTAACAACAAAACCCTAATATAAATATTCAAATGACAGAAATAGAAGAAGTAACAAATAAAGCAGTCAAAACCCTCACGTCGGTCACTAAAGATCTTAAAAAATAATGTCTTTAAATCACATGATTTCATCTTTTAGAGACCCAATCGAACATTAAATGAGCTCAGTAGCCGATCTCACTGTAACAAAAACAAGAACCAACTCCTTCAATCATGACGACAAAGATAGAGAGAGGAGATGACGAGCCGATGAGGATGAATGACGGCGATGGTGGGTATGGGAATAGGATCGTGGTTCACGGATGAGAGTGATGACTGATGATGACAGTGATGAGTCATGAGAGTCTACTAAAGTGAACACTGAACAGAGTGATGAGATGAAAGATTGAGAGAATGAATCAATGACAGTGATAAGAGATTTAGAGGCGCGAGAGAGAAGAGAAAGTTTGTTTTAGAGTTGGGTGGCGTTAGTGCCTTAGTAGGTTAGGGACTTAGGGTTCATCTTTGAAAAAAAGGGGTACCCATGGGCACCCACGGCTTTACCCGTGTAACCCATCAAAAAAGGGGTCAGGCCGGGTACGGGTGGGAATTAAATGAGTCCAACATATTAAACTCATACCCTATATTTTTTACCCAGGTACGGGCTGACCCGCGGGTCTGGACCCGTTTTGCCAGGTCTACCTACCATCAAGTTTTGGTGTTAAATTAATCGAGAGAAGGGCACAAAGTTGAAAATTAAATTATTTTGCAAAGTAAAAATATAAAAACTAAAAAAAAAATACCGTATATATATTTTTGTAAATTGAAAATTCAATAATAATTTTTTTAAAGGAAAAAGATAGTTGATTCCATTGATCTAAGAATGGTGGTTCCAGATATCTCTAATATGTTGTGGAAGTGAATTTTTAGAATTAAGATGGATTAAGTGAATGTTAAAATTTATGTTAGGGAATTGACTGGATAAAGTGAGGAATTTATGTTACTTGAAATTATCAAGGGGTTTTTTTTTTTTTTTTTTTTTTTTTTTTATGTTGATGTCAGTATAATGACATCACTAATCCAAACTATTGACTGGACCGGTTAAATCACTCAACTCGAGACCCAATAGCCTTACCAGATCAATAACCAAGTCAAGTTTCACAACATTGCTTATAACCATTAGGCCGAACGACATGCACCCGCCCATAGTTTGCCATAAAGATAATTTGGTACCCAAAAGGTTTGAAAATGACAATTACCCACTTTTTGTCCAAATCTGTTAGTAAAATCCGTTTAACTAAGGACAATATAGTAATTTTATATCCATTAATTTTAAATTAATCCATAAATCCCTAATTTTTTTTATCCTATTTTTTTATTTCATTTTTCTCTTCTCTCTCTTATCTTCTTCTTCATCTCCCTTCTCTTCTTTCTTTTTCTCTGTCTTTTCCCTCCTCCCCTTCTTTTTTTTCCTTTTCTTCTCCCTATTTTCCCATATTCATCCAGATTTGCCAGAAAAAATCACCTCCCATAAATATAAACACAATTGAAATTCATCACCATCTTAACACCACATTCAAAATTCATTCTCCATCTTAACTTCATAATCTAGTTGAGGGAAAAAGTATATCAAATTTATAAATTATTGATTGATGGTGTGTTTGTTTCATGAGGATAATTAGTTTGTTGACTGAGTGTTTGTTGCCTTGAAAAAATTAGACTAGGTTAATAAAAATTGGGGGAGGGAGATGGCAAAGGCGGAGCTAAAAAATTAAAACTAGGTTAATGAAAAATAGGGTAAGGAGGCGGTGGCAGAGAAGGTTGAGGCAATGGCTGAAGAAAAAAATGGGGGAAGGAGAGGAGGCTATGGCAGAGAAGGTTGAGGCAATGGCGGAAGAA